AGATGTGTTGAGTAAAGTGACCGTAGAGACTATTAATATAGCTGATAACATTAATCTATATCCTACTGCAGAAACCCAAAGGATTTCCTCACAGCAGCACCCACATTTGCGGAAAGTCTCCGTGTCTGAATCAAATGTTCTTTTGGATGAAGAAGTACTTACTGACCCAAAGATCCAAGCACTGCTTCTTACTGTTCTGGTAAGGAATCCCTGCCCTTGTTGTCTGTTTATTTACTTATTTATTTTCAAGACAGAGTCTCACTGTGTAACCCTGGCTGCTCTGAAACTCACTCTGTAGACTAGGTTGGCCTTGAACTCACAGAGATCCTATTGCCTCTGCCTCCTGAGCACTGGGATTAAAGGTGTGTACCAGCACCACTCCTGGCAGGACTTTCCCTTTTTGAGGGTTCCCCCCCCTCAAATTCTTATTCCAGTCCACTCTTAGCAGGCCTTTAAATACTACAAATACAAAAGGAAGATGTTTTCACTTCACTAAATAGAAAGATTCAGTCACAACATGTTTACTTCTTTTGCATCTTGGCAGGCTACACTGGTAAAATATACTACAGATGAATTTGATCAACGAATTCTTTATGAATACCTAGCAGAGGCCAGTGTTGTGTTTCCTAAAGTGTTTCCTGTTGTGTAAGTATCTCCTGTTGTTTGTACTAGCCTCTGTGTCTGTCTGTGTTTAGGTGCTCTGTAAAGGTGTCAGAAGTGTATTTTAGGGATGTCTGCTACCTACAGAGTGGAGAATGGAACAGGCACTTTTAACCATCGAGAGAGGTGGTTAGTGGTTTTAGGGTTTGGGACTACAGCTCTGTAGAACATATGCTTAGCATGCACAAGGGCCCAGGGTTGATCTCCAGCATCCAAAACAAAAGCCATAGTTGTGGGGATGAAGAGATCGCTCAGCAGTTAGGAACCTGTACTGGTGTTGCAGAGGACTTGCACCCTCTTCTGGCCTGAACACTGAACACACATTCACATACCAACACACAAACAAACACGCATATACATGATTGAAAAGAAAAACAAATCTTTTTAAAAATCCATATTTTAATGGTGGCTAAAGCCATGTGTTTTGGTTTGGGTTTTTTTGTTTGTTTGTTTTTGTTCCTAAGCTTACTGATTTACTTTAGTGGGTTATCTTAATGAGTATTGTACAGTTTTCTCAAGAGCAAACTGATAGATGGCTATATTTAAACCAGCCTGCTTAGTTTTCTTGGGGGGGGGGTATTCAGATCCTTTCTTTTAAATATTTACTTATTTTAGTGCACACATGCATGTCTACTGTGGCACACATGTGGAGGTCAAAGGACAACTTTGGGAAGTCAGTACTCTGCTTCCAACATTTTGGTACTGGAGATCAAACTCAGGTCAACAGAATTGACAGCTGTCACCTTTATCCATTGAGCCATCTTCCTAGCCCTTAGTTTTCTTTTTTAATAGAATTGCTGTATTTATTCACAGCTGAGTGAAAACAGAATTGACCTCTTAACTAGGAAGTTGGTTTTACACTCAACACTTTAACTTCAAAGTATTTGCTTAGTTTGATTTCTGTTGCTGTGATAAAACACTGACCAAAACAGCTTGGGAAAGGGACTGGAGAGAGCTCAGCAGTCAAAAGCATGTCTGCTCTTCCAGAGGATGCTGGTTTCATTCCCAACACCCACATGATGCCTCAGATCTGTCCGTGACTCCAGTTCCAGGGAATTTGATACCCTTTTCTGGCCTCTGAACACCAGGGTGTCATGTGGTGCACAGACATACATGGAGGCAAAACTCTCATGTGCATAAAACAAATTTAAAAAAAAAAAAAAGAATAGAATAGAAACTTGATGAGGAAAGGTTTTATTTCATCTTAAGAGTTAGAATCCAGTGTTTGAGGGAAGCCAGGACATGAACTAAAGCAGAGACCGTAGAAAAATGCTGCCTATGGCTTGCTCAGTTACCTTTCTTACACATCCCAGGCCCACCTGCCCAAGGCTGGCACAATGCACAGTGGGCTGGGCCCTCTATATCAGTTAGCAGTGGAGAAAATGTTTCACAGATCATTCTGATGGAAACAGTTCTTCAGTTGAGAATCCTTCTTCCTGGATATATCAGCTGATAACTGTGACAAAAAGGTGTTGGCAAATTAAAAAAACTAAAAGGGCCGTTGTGTGGAATGCAGAACAATAGGGAGTTCAAGGTGAAGGATGGACCTAAGGCATAGGTCTGTCTGAAGTCTTTGTGCATGTCATCATTAAATATTGAGTTATATCCCTTTGTACAGTGCAGAGCTGTTGGGAGATCTTTGCTTGGTGGTGAGTTGCTCTGTCAATATACTCTGGGTATTATGTTGAGAATGAGTTGGAAGAAACAATAGATTCAGAAAGATTGTAATAAGGAGACTATTCCAAGAGGCCAGTGTCGGGGATATAAGGAGAGGTAGAATTAAAATCACATTTAGGAGGTAAGAATTACAGAAATTGGTTATGGATTAGGTGTGGACTAGAGCAGGTCCTAAGGAGTACTCTGCTAGATTAATGCTTTTCACGTTAAAGTGGGTGGCAGTGGTTTCGTTGCTGTGATGAAAATCTTGGGAGAATCCCATACCTATGAAAGGGGAAGTAGAATGAACTTGGTATTGGACATCTTGGAACAACTAAAGATACTATAATCACACTTTAGTTTATAAACCTGAATACATGATTGTAGCTTATTGAACATTCAGCATTTGTTGTTTTTAATCTCATTTTAAAGTTTCTGAATTTTATATATCTAGGTATTTTTTTGGATATATTTTTACTAATAGATTGCAGCTGATTTGGAAATGATTTCGTAAGGTTCCACATTCTACCCCTCCCAAACTAATTTTGTTTTCCTTAGCAAAATTCAGTGTGATTTGGCACTAGTTTATATTAAATTTGATTTTAACCCTCTAAGTACATAGAAACAGACAGCAGAGGATATAGAGGGTAGAGTGTGCAAACTAGCAAACAGAACCATACCTGTCTTGAAAAATATTCTTTGTATAGTTTGACATGGTTGTGTGATAACTACTAGTTGTTTGCTTTTATTGTGTTTCCCTGGAGACTTAAAATGAAAGGCAGTACACACACTCTCATACACTCATTCACTAGGTAATTTAGAAAAGCATTAGAAACTTAAAAGCACTTGTCTTCAGTTTTGCCACATTGTTCTAAGGAATATATATTATGCTTTCCAATAAATCTTTTTATTTAATGTTCCTCTGTTTACTTTTTTTTTAGGCACAATTTGTTGGACTCTAAGATCAATACCCTCTTGTCATTGTGCCAAGATCCAAATTTGTTAAATCCAATCCATGGAATTGTGCAGAGTGTGGTGTACCATGAGGAATCCCCTCCACAGTACCAAACATCTTACCTGCAAAGTAATTAAGTATACCAGGAGAGGATGGTTGATAAGCCTGCACTGTAGCACTGTGGCTTGCAGAAGCACTGACTGTAGCATTCTCTATAAAGGACAGGCTCCTTCATACTTCTGTCCCTTTGTGCCATTTTCTGACTCTTAGCTATGTGTCCCATAAAATAACTGCTTGACCACTTTATTCAAATACGAAGCCTATTTTAAAGACATTTTAGTTATCTTTTAAATGTCTTAAATATCTGCATAGATTTAGTCTGTCGGCTATACAGCTTACTTTCTGTTTATTTAAAGCTATTTTTCTGGTTGTAAGAGTAGCATTTGCTGTCTTACAGGTTTTGGTTTCAATGGCTTGTGGCAGGTTTGGGGGCCCCTTTTTAAAGGAAAGATGGATAAGCCAGAGTCTTTAACTATATTTGTGACCTTTTTGAGAACATGCACTATCCTCAAACCAAAGTACTATCTCAAAATAAACACATTGTTTTACAAAGATTTTTCCAAAGGAGGCAATACATTTAATATGTTGATATATTAGTTTTTATTTTAAAATACTGCATTTAGGCTTGACTTCTCAGAAGGTTGTGATAAACCGCTATAAAACTTGTCTGCCTGTAGACCAGTGGTTCTCAACCTGGGGTCATGACCCCTTTGGGTGATACATCACATATTTATATTATAATTCATAACAGCAAAACTACAGTTATCAAATAACAACAAACTTATTTTATGGTTGGGGGTCACCACAACATGAGGAATTGTAGTAAAGTGTCACAGCATTAGGAAAGTTGGGAACCACGGCTATACACCTCTACATGTGGCAATAACTCACACACCTGTCTTGTGACCAGCAAAGAGCATAATGCCTGTTAAAACTACCTCAGGGACACAGTTTTACATCCAACTATTATATTGAGTTTGTGCTTCGCTGTTCATTTTCTTTGGCATTATTCATTGGTGTACTGTATGAATTTGTGTTTAATTTTTTTGTAGGTGGTCTCTTTTAATATAATTGAAGTTCCTTGAAGGCAGGGCTTCCACCCCACTCCCAGCCACCCCACACACACACCCCCGCCACACACACACAGTGTCCTAGATACCAGGGTATTAAATCTATACCTTGTTCCAGTTTAAGAGTTAGATTTAGTTTATTTTATAATATCTGTTGATATGCACAGGTTGTCACTAAAAAGATGAGCCTGAAGTCACAGAAGTGTCTTACCGAAGTCTTTAACAGGTGCATGGTGTCACCCACTGAGCTGTTACCCTCCATTCCTCGCTGGGGGGATCTGAGTAGCAGCTAGCCTGATGGTGCCCTGCCCACTTTCTCTGCTTTGGGAATCTGGCTAGACATCATTGCTGAGGACTGCATTGTCTGTAGAGGCAAACTTTCTGCCTGGGCATGGCTTTCAGAAATTGCAGGTTCATCTGGAAGCTTTTAGGGGAAGCTAAATAAAGTTTCAAGCTGTAAGTTCAATAGTTGTCTCTAAATACTACTCCAGTCCCCCTTTTTAATGGTCTAGAATATAAACAAAGGAAGAAAGCAAAACAGTCAACTAAGCCCCAGATATCAGTTAACCTTTTTTGGCTTCAAAGGGAATTTTTTTTAAAAACGGAGCTAAAATAATGTCCTATTTTCCATTACAGCAAACACAAATCCCAGACTATGCTGAGCTTATTGTTAAGTTTCTTGATGCCTTGATTGACACGTACTTGCCTGGAATTGATGAAGAAGCCAGTGAGGAGTCCCTCCTGACACCCACATCTCCTTACCCTCCTGCATTGCAGAGCCAGCTTAGTATCACTGCCAACCTTAACCTCTCTAATTCCATGACCTCACTTGCAACTTCCCAGCATTCCCCAGGTCAGTAAATGTGATCTTTATGTGACTTTGAGCAATGATACTACGATACCAACATTAGGAACTCCCTTGCGGTCAGATTATAGCAGATTTTGCTCCTTTTCCTCATGAGGTTCACTTTATATCTCTTTACTATGTAACTGAATGTTGTTACGCTTCAGAGCTGTCTGCTTTCCAATAAGTTGTATAAAAGAGAGTGATATTTAGTGTCCACATAGGTTTGAACCAAAAGCACAAACATTACCTGTAAGTGAATAGAACTGTAGTTGTTTAGTCAGATATACTAACATTATCCTAAGTATTTCCATGTCTCTGATGTAGCATACTATAAAACACACACTTACAAAGTCTAGTAGTCACCTTGATTTAGGGCTGGTAGCAACAAGTCAGTCATCCATAGACCATACACTAGCTTGAAGATCCAGGATTAGGTAAACAACCGGACCAAAAAAACAAAACAAAAAATTCCTTACAAAAAAATTGCATCTTGGGGCTGTAGAGATAACTAGATTGGTAGAATGCTTTCCTTGAAAGCCTAAGGAACTGAGTTCAATCCCCCAGAACCCACATTTTTAAAATCCACTTGTTGTATGTGCTTGTAATCCCATCCCAGCACCCAGGAGGTAGAATACCTGGGCATGACTAGCCAGCTAGCCTAGCCTACTTGGTGATTTCCAAGGCAGTGAGACATTGTTTCACAGAACGGTAAGCTTGAGGAACAATACTACAACTGTAGTCTCTGAAGTGCGTGCATGCACACACACACACACCCCACACACACACACACACACACA